TCAGGTTTGCATCTTGTAGGAGACAATTGTTCTTCGCTCAAATGTAAGCCAGGTGGAACATCTTTAATCATATAAGAAGATCCCAATCTTCAAGGAAATTTTCTGTTCTGATGTTCTTTTTCGAGACATCCGATTATAAGAGGATGAATTCCCGCTAACAACTGCAATAATTACATGCCTTCTGCTAGTTCATCATTTTAGGGTATTGCGGGGGTGGCAAAAGAGTGGGGCATAAGGGCTTTAAGCTTTCTTTGAATTGGTAACATACTGCCACCATCATTTCAGAACAATTTGCCACATGTCAGGCCCAAGGATTACCGGCATGCTGCAACTAAATCTGCACTATTTCTTTGACAACAGTGAGAGCAGCAGCTGCTGAATATTGTAATGGGGATTTACACTGCTTACCACTTTTATTTTCAAGAACAAAAATGGGAGAACACAACACTTAGGCCTGGCATCTATTGCTTAGATATTCTTTAAAATAATCTGCAGGTTCAACTGTGTTATTTAAAAAAAAAAAAAGAAAGTTGACCATGATTGTTCTGAAATTTGACCCAAAAAAAAACCAACAATGACCTTCTGGAGAGAAAAAGCAATGACCGGCACAGCTCACACATAATATTTATTCTTGTGATGTGTGAATAAGTTCAAGTCAGTTTAGAAGTGTTATCTAGAGAAGCTAAAGTCTAAATTAGATTATCTTGGGGAAAGATGCTGAACCTGCATTCAGCAAGATCTGAAACTATAGCCAAGGAAAGGTTATGGAGTAACATAAGCAGTGTTTTCAGTGAGTATAAATATTGATAAGAACTTATTTTAATTGTCAAGCTAACGTGCGTGCAGCAACTGGAAGGGGTTACCTTTGTATGTCAGAAAAAACCCAAGAGTGACTCGATCAAGAAGCAGCATGTCCAAAGATGAGCTTTACAAACATTCCGTACAACAATTAAACAGACCACCTGAACTAGAGCCTTATCCCAACAAGACAAGCCAGAAGACAGCTCACTGAGATTCTCCACAGGAGCAAACCACCTAGCCGACAGCTTCAGCTCAGCACATGAAAAGAAATTCCAGTCAAGGTTTCCCAACATCTTCACTTCCCACACAGACCATCTGCAAGGTCCTGAGAGTTACCTCAGATCTTTCATTACTTCTCTGAATTCCAGGATTAAGCTGAGGGAAGCAAAAGGCAATCTGGCCCAGTTTAATTCCAGAAAGAATTAGTGTAAACAAACGTAAGATGGCAAAAGGCCACTCAACAGCAAACCGTGCACTATTAGAGAATCATAGACAGAATCACAGAACGGTTTGCGTTGGAAGGGACCTTAAAGACCATCCACAGTTCCAACCCCCCTGCCATGGGCAGGGACACCTTCCACTAGACCAGGTTGCTCAAAGCCTCGTCCAACTTGGCACTTCCTTCTTACAATTTGAAGATATCAGAAAATGTGTGTCCCTTCTGAGTTTGTGACATTCAAATTGATGTTAACAAAGGACGTTACAACACAAGCTGGTTAACATACACTTGATTCAAAATGCTGACCATACACTTCCATTCCAAAATGCTGACCACAGGAGCCGATTTCTCCACTGTCACCATCCAGTGTGTTTCAGGCATTCCAGAACCAGCATCTGTTTTCCATCTGTTAGGTGCCTATCCTAAATGCCCCATTACTGGCTGCTCAACTGTACTTTCTTCTCTCTTTGTCATAAGAAGTTTGCTATATTTGTTTTGTTTTTATCAGCCTGAGCATTGGAATTCCTTCTCGAGCCAATTTTCTTTCCCAGCCATCTCAAATTCTAAACCATTACTATTTTCCACAAACATTCAGGCATGGTGTGTACAGCAAGTTTACATGTACTACTTGTGAAAACATTTTAATAGGGTAGACATCAAGTTTGCGAAACTTGATGTCTTCCACACTACGTGCTTCCACACTGTTTTTCTATCAACTATTATAAGAGGAACCCACATTAGCTCATTTCACACCGCTATTAGCCCTCTGCGTAGCATGACAAGTGACACACGTATTGTTGCTGGCTCTCCATTCCCACCTGAGAAGCACCAGCACAGAAACTGTGACTGATAAGCAGCCTTAAGTCCATCCAGTTCCATATTCTCCTTGCTGGTGATCCTTACAGCAGCAGCAGCCTGAAATGCACACTCAGCTCCACAGTGAAAATCCCAAGGGCTCACAACACACAACACCCCATGATCATTTCCAGCGACGATAAAAGGTTTCAGATTTCAACCTCTGCATCTCCCTTGCCCTTGCATCACCTTCCTATGTAAAATGTACCCAATAGCACTTATTTTGCTGGATGACCAGCACTTGATGTTGTTAAGTCAAAAGATGATACATGTGATCTTCAGCTTCTTGCTGCTATCTTACATCAGCTGATGGAAATTAGTTAAGGATTTACTCAAGTGCTGCTTCAGCAGAGAACCCTTAAGCCTCTGAAACAACAGAAATACTCTGTGTGACTCTACTCTGGTCCCATCCATATACAACAACATTTATCAACCTGAGACCTATGTCATACAGATAAAAAAAACCCCGTAGCAGGAAGACCACAGTTCTAACCCAAGGTTTGTTAATAAAGAGAACACATGTGCAATAGGGACTGTAACTTTTTAAGAAAGTATCTTTTTATTTATTTTAAATCGTCTGTATTGATAAAATCAGCATTTAATCTCATCATAACTCAAGAAGTCAAAGTTCAGCAGTCAGACACCCGTGTGAATAGCGGTAACACGCTCCATACTGGCGCCGTAGACACATTACAGGAGGGAAGTGAAACTTGTGCTCTAATTAGATCAAGACAGTCTCCCACCCAAACGCTGGAATTACACTCAAGGTATTCAGCTCTGTTCCGCTTTCTATTCAGCCATCTTCCTTTTTGTGCTCTGAGTTAGGTATGCATGTGGTTTACTTCTCAGTTAAATCTTTTACCATCACAAGGAACAAACCAGGAAGAACATACTATACAGAAAGGTTAAGTACAAGAGGAAATCAAAGTGTTAGGGACATTTGTCACGTTTGTCCTAGAAAGGTCTCAACGAGAAATAAAATACGTTTAAGTCAACACCGTCCTCCTTTTCTTAGTTGTCTCACAACACACCATTTTAAGACATTTCCAAGAACAGTTCTATGGGGAAAACAAACCAGCTTTTAAAAGACTTCTCTTCAGATTTAAAGACTTATATCAGAAGTGTTTTCAGAGTGCAATTCACTGTTAACACAGAATTAAAAAGACCTTCTTTGAAATCAAGCTAGTAGGTACACTTGTCCAACTTCCAGTTATGAGTCATTAGAAAAAATGCTATTGAAAAATACACATTTTTTCTTCCAATGAAACAGGTAACAGTTCAACACCGACAACATTTCTCAGTCTCTTTTTTCAGCCATGGCTGAATCTGATTCTATTCTTTTTCTTAATATAAGGTATTTACCCTTATTTTTCAGTATGTCAAAAATTAATTTAAAGTAACAAAACCAAAACATATGACATAATACTGCCTGGCCATTCATTACAATTTAATCTACATAAAACTACCTGAACAGAGCACTGAACAAATACATTCAAAGACCTAAGGTGAGGAAAAAAATAACCCCTAGACACATGGGTATGAACAACAAACACAGGAGACTAAACGCCTGGAGAGTCACCACCTCAAATTAAGTGTAACTATTACTGTTCATTTTGCATGTGAATTTAGGCTCACCTATAAAACAAACCAACCTCTTTAACAAAGACTTGAGGGTAAATCCTTCCCAACTGCCACCTACAGAGCAAACACTTCTTCATTTAAGAATTACTTTCACATCATATTGAACTGCTGAACATGATGACAGAAGGTAAACTCCTCCTCTCTGAATAAGCAGCACAAAAAGACAAACTAAGAACATGGTAACTGAGCAAGCAGAATTAATTCAAGTCTTTCTAACAACAGGAGCAGACATGGATGCAGAGATATTTTTACCAATTGCCTTGCATTATCCTGTTCACTATGTATAGCACAAGAGCTCTTGCGAGCAGGAAGCAGCCCTAGTAAGTAGATGGTCTTCAGGAATGAAAGATGACGGCAAAACATGGATGATAACGTTGGTTGACCCCCAAGTGATTTATTTTAAGGCATATTATGAGCATCTGAACATCTATAGGAAGCTTTTCAAAGTCATATTAAGGCATCTATATTGCACAAGCACTCTCAACAAAACCTCAGTGGACACCTAAGAGGCTCTGTAAGTAATTGAAGCTCTTTTTACCATTTAACTGTCATGTAGGCTTTACGCTTTGCCACAGGTACCCAAAACAATTATTAAACCGCCGATCAAGCAAGTGTCAAAACTGGCAATTAAGTTGCAAGATGATGCAGTTCTATGTTCACAGTCAGTATTCCCATACAATGTTATTGTTACTTCCATCCCAGGTGAAAATAGCCAAAGCTGAACTGGGGCACAATAATGAATTCCCCCTCCCCTACAAATATACAGCAAACAAAATATTTTGTTTGTTTTGACTCAATTTGCACCAAAACTATGCTATAAATGCAGCAGAAGCTTACAGTCTTAACTTGGCTGGAGAACTGAACTAAAGAAACAGCAGGAGTTGGAAGCAGACTACAGGGAAATAGCAAAATTTGGTCTTAGCAAGTAATTTGCCTTTAGCAAAAGCACTTCTGGTTCTACACAAGCGATTCACACTGCACTGGTCCAATGTATTTGCACCGTGAAGACTACACAGCCTGTACACTGTACAAGTACCAGTATTTGGATGCAGAAATATTTTTTTAATTGGAGATAATTAACATATTTTTTAAAAATCTCTTTAACCCGTCTACCGTCATAAGGCAGCCAACACCTTCATCACTCTTTGGTCATTTAACCAGATGTACATACTTCAAGAGACACACAGATCTATATATATATATGTACATACATATACATATATATATATACACACGAGGTAGTGATGTTACAGATGTAACTTGCCTGGGTGAGAAATGAAAGGAACAGAACCAAAGGGATCTTCATGAAGGCTTTTCTGTGGAGCAGAATGTGGCTCCACATTCTTATCTGAAGATGCTCTCCTGTCCACCAGCCTGTCTGTAAAAAACAAAATGAAACAGAACAAAAAAATAAAATAAAATAAAAATGGTAGGTCTTATGCCTACACAAAGATATCTACTGTACGTGGCGAAGGAGGAATATGCTCTTAATTAAGGTTTCTGTTTTAGCTATACCTTGAATTCATACCTCTTGGTCATTCAGGAAAATTCACCTGCACAAACCTATTGTTGAACCCCCTGTCCCACCAAGAGCAGCATGTATGTGGTGACAGAATGCTTTAAATGAGGATGCCTCTTACACGTTATAGCCAGCCTATGCCCTCTGTCATAGAAACTACTAGCCCTCCGTGCTCTTGAGGTTCTGAAGTCAGAATGATTACGCTTATCTAAAACACAAAGTCATTTATTTTATTCAAGTTTTGGCCAATCTTTGCCACAAAAGGAGAAAAGTTGACAATCACAGCAAAATACCTGGAAGTACTTTTTATGAATTGTTAACAGATGTTATATGCCTAAGAACAATTTGAGCGTCACATAATAAACATAGTGCCTGTTTTGTATGGCCTTCAATCCCTAGGAGACTGATTTTGCTTCCCCCCTACCCCTATCAGAAGACATACTAAAGGTTTTTAACAGTCAAAACTTCCAAGCACTAGGAATGGTAAATACAAGTTTTTCCTGTCTAAGCTCTCTTCCTACTGTTGCTGCCAACTTAAGACCCAGACCATCCAGCCCAACCACCACACTGACCTAAGAGGGTCCAGCAAGGCCCATCAGCCACCTACCACCACAGAAAGGTGTTCCATCTTTAGACAACATCCTACATCCTCTATGCAGTAGACACAGCATTTTGCTTTCCCCCTTTTTAAACAGCAAACAGCTGCTCTTCCAAACAATTTGCAGCACAAATTTCTTGACAATTTGCCACCGTAGAGGTGCAGGCAAACTGTGCCCTAATTATGTATCACACTACCTGCACGTTTTTTATTCAGTCCTCCAATGTAGCAACCAGGCAGCTTTACTAAGACAACCATCAGGAACTAGACAGCAAACTAATCTACTTCAGACAGATGCATATTAACTCTGCGTACAAAGCCCAGGAGTTTTGAAATTACATGCCAGTTTTCACAGACAAGTGTTCTGTTCGTATAAAAGTGTCTATAATGTGAACTGTCTTACTCTCACCTACCATTAGACTCTCCAAAGAAATGCAAGCGGGAGTTGTTCCATTACAGGCAACCTCTGCGTAAAATATAATCCCAGCTGGGGGCTCCTAGTGCAGGAGATGAAGTAGTTGCTCTCACCTCAACATACACATATTGAAATAGGCCGAGACTAACAGACCCGAACAGAATTACCCTACAGTGACATAGCCACGCAGAAGAGAAAACGAAGAGAGATGCACAAAGCACAAGCAGCTGTGTGTTTTATACCGTGGGCTTTGAGCCTTGAAGACAAACAACTGCCAAACATCACATCCAACAGCAGTACTTATTCCTCATTCTGAAGAGCCATACCCACATGGCTTTCCCTCCTCAGGTAGGAACAGTTTGGGGGTTTGGGTGGGGGGTATATTTTGCTTTGCTGGGGCTTCTTTGTTTGCATTTTCTTTAGTTTTGTCTTAGAAGACATGTATGAGCTTCAGTTTCCTCCTCTACAAATGCAGACGAAGTGAGGGATGCTTTTGCTCCATTATCCCTAGTGTCTCACCTCCAGAAGAAAACCAGAAAAAAAAAAAAGGGCAATCAAACTGTAGAGTAACTTTTAAGGGTGCAACAACTTGAAGTACCCTTTGGTGAGTCTCTGGAAGTGCCGGCACGCAAGACTATGCAAGTTCAAGCCCCTCGGATCTCCTGACTTGAGCAGCTGGGCTAAGGATAGCAGCCAACAAAATGGACTGAAACGCCAAGCATGCAAGAAAAATTAGGTAAAATGAGTAAATACAAGGTTTCACCTCCACGGCACTTAGGCATATA